TAAATAAAATAAAACTATAAGTTTAGTTGTGTGATTCAATCACGTATCTGTCAACCAAGATTCTTGTGTCAATAAACCTTGATTCATTGTATTTTTTTAGTTGTTCCTTGTTTAACCATATAGTATTAGTTATTGTAGTAACTGTATTAATGTAAGGTAATTGTTTTATTTACATTATTGCTCATGAGAAATAATTTAAACAAGTATCTTCATGAGCTAAAGTGGGATTATACTCACTTGGCTTAAGGAGTAAATAATGTAAACAATTATCTTCGAAGCTGTGTGGAGTTCGTTTCCTACTTTGAAAATCTTATTGGTAATGATGACCCCTGGTGACCAGCCTTGAGGGAATGAAGGGTATGTTTTGTAACAAGGTTTTTGAGGCCCATTGTGCCCACATGGTGAGACTAGTCACTAAGGAGGTAAAGGATGTCATCTTTGGTATGGGCCAGGGATTATAAAGCTTCGGGGGTCAAAATTTTTTAAAGAAGCCCAAGGGATTGTAGGTGAAGAGATGTTTAAGGTTGTTATAGAATTCTTTGCAGTCAGTAAGCTTCTAATTAAGGGATCAATGCCACTACCATTGTCTGTGTGCCTAAGTTGGAAGTGCCCCTAAAAGTGAGTGATTTTCGTCTTATATCTTGTTGCAACAGTGTATCTACAAAATTTTAGCTAATAGAGTGGTGGGCTGCCTGGGGGAGTTAGTTGATACCACTCAATCTACCTTTGTTCTAGGTAGGAGGATCAGTGATAATGTTTTGCTTGCTCAAGAGATTTTTCGGAACTATCACAAGGATGCATGAACCCCTCATTGTGCCTTTAAGGTGGGTATTCAAAAGGCGAATGATAGTGTAGATTGGGGATTTCTCTTGCAAGTGCTGAATTTATTTGGTTTCCTCCATAAGGTGATTACTGGATCTGGGAGTGCATTACCATGCCTGTCTTTTCAGTTGTTATTAATGGGGAGATTCATGGGTTCTTCCAAGGTGAGAGGGGTCTTTGTCAAGGGGGCCCACTATCCTCGTATTTGTTTACCCTAGTCATGCAAATACTTTATCTAATTATTAGAAGGAGGACACGGGAGAGTGATGGTTTTAGATATCACTTGAGATGTGAGGCTAATCAAATTAGCTACTTATGCTTTGCGGATGACCTTTTTTCTTATTCTATCATGGGGATCCTCTATCGGTTCAGATTTTGCAAGATTCCTTATTGGAATTTGGGGAGTTTTTAGGTCTCCACCGCAACCTCTCCAAGAGTACCACCTTTATGTGTAAGGTTGATGAGGTGAATAGGGCCATTATCAAAGACATCATGGGTTTTGATGAAGGGCAGTTGCTAGTTCGTTATCATGGGGTTTCCTTGATCACGACTAGATTACAACATAATGATTGTTTGCCTTTACTTGAGAAGGTTGAAAAAAGGATTAAAATTTGGAAAAATAGATTTCTCTCCTATGCTGGGTTTCTTCAACTTGTTACTTTTGTTTTAGCCTCCATGCAAGTGTATATCGAGCTTCAATGTTTATCTTACCTCAATCAGTCACCAAAGCCATTGAGAGAATGATGAGAGACTTTCTTTGTGCGGGTGGGGACTTGAGTAAGGATTAAGTGAAGGTAGCTTGGAGGGATATTTGTTTGCCTAAGGATGATGGAAGGTTAGGAATTAAGCCCATGAGACTATGGAATACCTTTTTGATGATCTTTCATGATTGGTCAGTAGTTGCAGGGAGAGACTCCCTCTAGGTTAAATGGATCCACACCTATAGGTTGAAAGGTCGTAGTTTTTGGAGTATAAAGGTGTCGTGGGATGCTAGCTAGAGTTGGCGAATGATCCTTAGACTTACGGATGTTATCAGGAGTGACCATTGGAAATGGTCAAACCATCTCTCTTTGGCATGATGCTTGGCACCCCTTAGGACTGCTTGATAAAGTTGTGCCTTATAGGACAATCTGTGAAACAAGACTTGGGCATAGTGCAAAGGTTAGTGATGTTTTAGTTGATGGCCAGTGGGTCTGGCCGGAATGCTTTTGGGAGAGATTCCCCCATATTGTTAGCCAAGTCCCCCTATACTTCTTTGATCAATAACTTGGAGATAGTTTACTGGAGATCTAAGGATGGAAAGAGAGTGCCCTTCTCAGCTAGACAAACTTGGCAAGCCATTTCCCCGGTGAGTACCTGAGTTCTTTGGAGCCATCTTGTTTGGAATGACAATTGTATCCCTAGGCAGTTTTTCAATCTCTGGTTAGCTATTCGACACAAACTGCTTACCTAAGAGGCTAAGACTATCTACTTTCTTGTCGGATTCTGAGATGTTGGAGTGTGCTCTTTTTAAGTGCCCAATGGATTCTCACCACCATCTCAATTCCACTGTAACCACAGTTTTACAGTCATTGTTATTTACCAAAATACTCAATGAGATAAATTTTCCCATACACAAGAGTGATGAATCTTATATCAATCCATCATAGTTATAGTGTACTTTTCAATGTAGCCAACCACTCCCATACTGATAGTCTTAAATAGGACTACGTTAGACTAGTGTCAAACTATACCAATATTTAGACACGACACTCTGGTAATCTTGAGTCAAAGGATTACATGTACCACCATCCGTTAGAAGATATATTCCATAGACATTAGGGTTATCATCCCTATTGAATCTTTTGGTGGACCTATTCAGTGAACTTGCCAAATGCAAGCACCTATATATTGTACCAAGTTGTCACCAAACAACTTCAACATGTAAGATCTGTTATTATCTTTCGATAGGTCATTCAACACTATGATAATCTTACTGTATTATCTTTATCCTTACTTAAGATAATACTAGGTCTATGAACAATTCTAGAATGACTATCTTATGTAATTATAAGGTTCTTAAATGAAAGATGCAAAACACTTAATACCCTTGTCACGATTTAACCATTCTACGGGCATATATCTAAATGTATATAAACTAAATGGTATAATTAAAAAGCCTTTTATTAACATCAATATGTTTTTATAAAGAGTCAATTATTACAATTGGATTGGCTCTAAGGCACCTACACTAACAGTCTCATGTGACCAAATGTTGCAAGATTTGGCGATGATTCCTTTAGCGTTAGATAGATCAACTAGTGCAAATTTTTGGACCCTGGTAGTGTTTCTAGTATATATGTACCTCCTACAACAATCGCCGATAACCATCGCTAGTGGTGGTCCCACGACCGACAATTGCAATTCCTAGTTTTATTTGTTTTATAAAAATAATTTTATTGAATTATTATTACTATAGTTTAATAAGTATGAATAAATTTTATAATTGTTATTCATATATAAGAGTAGAATAAACATTTTACATATTTAAAATCAGCTTAAGAAAAAAAATTGATTTTAAAAGCTAGAGAAGGTAACTTTTGAAAACCTTTTTATAAAATTGATTCTAAAACAATCAACTTCAGTCATGAGCAATTTCAAAATCAGTTTACCAAATACTTTTTAGCAATATCTTGAAAGTTAAAGTGATTATTTTATAATCTACAATAACTCCAAAGCACATACTTTATCAAGGAATAAATAATCAATAAAGATTGACTTACAACTCAATCTTACAAAATTTATCTCACAACCCCGACATATCAGCTCGCAATTGGGCATACGAGACCTATAACGAGCAAGCAAGACCCATTTGCGAGCTAACCAATTACGAATTTTCACATCGGAGTTGTGAGAGAAAGTTTGTGAGACTAAGGTATTAGTATAGTATTGCCCATAAGTAATATCATTTGGCTGTTTTAATTCTCTGATAAGGCTTGTTTTGGTATGTCATTTAAGATAGTATGTAAACTGTTTACAATTATTGAATATGCAAATTCTAGCCTATTATTCCAAAAGTCACAAGAGAGTTAATTTTGTAATTTACAAGTAATATCAAGGGCATTTTCGACAATGAAAATTAGTTGGTTGCTCCCATTTCTTAATTAACTAATTTAATATTGATAACACGGGTTATTGTCAAATCAAAATTGGCTTGACAACTATTTTTTTAATAAAGATAGGTTGACAAATACTTCTCACAACTTTCTATCATAAACGTTGATGTGATAGCTTGCAATTAGTCAGCTTGTATTTGGTTAGGCGGGACCTATTGTTGGATAAGTGAGACTCATTACGAACTGACCAATTATGAGCTAATACGTCGCGTTTATGAGAGAAAGTTAGTGAAAAGGGTTTGTGAGTGTAGTATTACTGCTATTTTTTAGGATCTTGAGAAAAACTTAGTAATTCATACGTCAAACTTGGCCTCTGGTTTGTTTTAACATCCAAAATTGACAATAGGGGTTGGTGTTGTATAATATGTCATACTTTGGACCTAACGTTAATTTTGGATACTTTAGGTGGGGTAAATGATTTAAACCCTTAAAATTAAAAACTATCAAGGTTGGCTTTGGAATCTAGTGTGATTACTTGCAATTGTCTTTTGAATGGGCTATTGAAGTTGAATTATATTGGTGATTGTTAGCAAAGTTTATTATTAGGACATGGGGAGAGTTATTAGGACCAAATTCGTATACCTTTCATTTCTTGACTCATGTTTTTTTGCTAAGGTAAAGGAGTTGTTAAGGTGAATGATTTTAGAAAAGATGGAAGAGAGAAGATAAGCGTTGCTAGGAGGGAAAAGGAAGGAAAAAGAAAGACTGAGGAGAAAGAAGCAAAAGAAAAAAAAAAATGAGGGGAAAATGGTAGGGATTTCCTTAAAAGTTGAAAACCAAAAAATGTCCTTTTACAAATGAAAATATCATCTATACGGCTATACCTAACCTCAAGTTAATTTGAAAAATGATGTCTTCTCAAAACTGGTAAGAGTTACTACAATACTTGAAAAGTTGAATTGCATTGGGGTAATTACTTAAATTAATTTTCCACACTTTCACGCATACTTTCTAACAATTTACTATATATATATATACACCCTCGGCATTGTGTTCAACATACTAAACCTCAAGTCCTTCGTCATGGCCAAAGGAAATTCAAATTCAATTGCTCTCTCTATCCCGATTTTTACCGGAGAAAAATATGATATTTGGAGTACTAAGATGAAAACATATTTTTTGTCCCAAAACTTATGGAACATTGTTAATGGGGAAAACCCAAAAAACATTCCCCCTCTCTTTGAGTATGATCATGAGCAGCAGAATGATGCAGCAGCACTTTTCATCCTTCAGCAAGCAGTGGATGATAATATTTTCCCAAAAATTTCATCTAAGAAGATGGCGAAAGAAGTATGGGACACTTTTAAAAAAGAGTACCAACGCAATCCTCAGGTATGCGCTGTCAAACTACAATATCTCGCTTCATTACAGCCTACTAATAACCGCCTCTGCTTTATCACAGATTATCACCTCACCAGAACAAGATAGGATGATCAGTAAGTATAGTGGAAAAATAAAATGAATTTTCAGAAGTAAATAAACAATTACTATTCCAATTAATTAGTATGAAAATTTTTCTGTTTGTTTTTATGGCAGAGAAATTGCAAGAAATACCTGCCACTATATCAAACTATACTCAAAGGCAATCTAGAATATGTAAAAGAACGCTGTGATGAGGATAAAGATGCGTTAGGAGCTAGGATCACGGTAAAGTTAGACACAGTTCTTCATGTTTCTGTTGGCGTTGGGACATGCAAGGCGAATCATATCGTGAAGTATCTGTTGGGTAAGATGTCAATGCATCAACTGACTTCACAGAAAAATAAAGAGGGCAACACGGTTCTTTCCATTGCTGCAATTGTTAACAATCTCGAAGCAACCGACATGATCATGAAGAGAGATAAATATCTATGTTTAATCCAAGATCCAAACAATTTAAAAAGGATACCTTTGATTGAGGCTGCTCGACATGGCCAAAAGAAGATGATTAACTATTTGTTGCAATTCAGCGACAATTATTTGAATTATGTTTTTGGTGCAACACATTCTAAAGATAAATCTGGTATTTCTTTCATAAACAAGCTTATAATTGCTGGATTTTATGGTGAGTTAAGTTCATTTTATTTTATTGATGTATATTTTTAACCATTTTCTTCAAGTTTAAACGTGAAATGAACAGTCCTAAATTTCTTTCCATCTTTATGCTCAGAGTTGGCGTTAAACTTGCTTCAGAAACATGAACGAAGTTTAGATAAAAACAAGGATTCTTGTGGTGAGTTTTTGAATACAATAGCTGGAAAGCCGTCTGCATTTCCAAGTGGAAGACAAAGAAAGCTACAGTTTCGGCTCCACTTTATCATTCCTAAGCGTGAGTTTACATTTCTCAGATAATTACTATTTAATCTTGCATCATCCATTATTTCATGAATATCATGTTGTTTATTCATTTGTTTTCTTATATTTTGGTTGTTAGGAAGAAAATTTCACTTAGCTCATCATGTATAAATAAAAAAATATTCTTTGAGTCGTACACTATAAGTGAGGATAATTAATATGTTTCAGAAATTTAGGGTCCATTTGTTTTGTTATTTTGGATAGGATTTTGGAAATAATATTGGGTAGTTGAATATGAGAGTATTATGAGATAAAATTTAAAAATTAACAAAAAAACCCCATAGGTTTGCTAATTTAACTAAACACCCCAATATATAATTTTTTTTTGTAAAATGACAAAAACACTCCCACCCACCCACAGTGCTAGATTCCGGCCACCACTGCCGGAATCTAGCCGAAAAATGGTGTTACGAAGCAGACCGGTCGGATCTGGCGGGTAGGGCGTTGATATGGCCTTTTTCGGCCAGATCCATCATGGATCTGGCCGAAAAAGGCCAAATCTACGGCCAGATCTGGCCGTCAACGGCCGCAAAAGTCCAGATCTGGCCGTCAGCGATAGCCAAAGATATGGCCGTCGTTAACCGTAGATCTGGCCGGAAAAGGCCAGATCGGTGAATTACCCGGCCAGTTCTGGTCGTTTATAGGCCTTTGTGACAGATTCCGGCTACCACTGACAGTGGCTGCCGGAATCTGGCAAGTATAGGTGGGTGGGGGTGTTTTTGTTAATTTTTAAAAAAATTTTGAGGGTATTTATGAAATTAATAAACTTAAGGGGTCTAATTTTTTTTTAAAAAATATACTAATATTTCTCAAATAACAAAACAAACAAGTATTTTGGGAATAGGATTGGGAATATGGATATAAATAATAAGCCAAAGGGAGCCTATACTATTCTAATAACTTTATGTGGTAGAATAGTGCGACTTAATTTTTTGACTGATATTATCAATTAGATTGATAACTTTTCTAGCTCTTGTTATAGGTGGATAAAAGTTACAAATTGTTCAATTAAAAGAAATCTAAAGGGTATTTTTTTTTTTTTTTTTTTTTGGATAAAAGGTAATTTATGAATGAAAGAATGGGTCCCAAAACCGGGGAACTAACTTTAACAAGAAATGATTTTTCTACTAAATAGCCAATAGTAAATTGGTCATAATTTACTAAATAAAAATCCAATTGATATCAGTTTGAAGCTTTTGAAACTAGACAGACAAAGTTTAATTTGATATATTATATACTGAATTTAGATACCTGCAGACCCTTCAAATTCTGATAAAAAATTAACGTTCCGCAATAAAATCAAGTTTAATTTTCAATATGTTTTTCGTATAAACAAAGACAATTTTCCGCTTTAGTAGTTTACCACTAGTAACTAGTTTTAGAAATTTATAGTATTCTAATGACTTTATTCGTTAGAATAGTGCAATTTAATTTTCCACCAATATTATCAATTAGATTATAAACTACTCTGACTTTTGTTATAGGTGGATAGAAGTTACAAATTGTTCAATTAAAAGAAATATATAAGTTATTTGTCACTAACTTTAACGAGAAATGATTTTTCTACCAAATTAATCATTATCATGATTGTTTAACTTTTAAATGAATTCATGTTTAGCTAGTCTTTAATGAAATGTTTTCTCCTGTTGTAATATATATTTTACTCAGCTATATAGTTCTGATTGTTGAGCTGTTCAATGTCTATATTCAATTTGCAGTGATTAGTCATACAAAGGAAAAAGGAAAGACAGAGTTGATGCATGAAACAGTGCTTAACTTGTCAAACTTTTGTGCAAGGAAATTGCAAACGATGTAGACCATGCAAAGGCTTCCGAGTTACTGAAACCACCGTTCCTTCTAGCGGCAGAATTGGGCATTTGTGAAGTCGTGGAAGAGATAATGAAATCATATCCTGATGCAATCTGGTTTACAAATGAAAATGATCATAACATATTCCATTTGACAGTCATGAAACGTCGAGAGAAGGTATTCCACCTCATATATGAAATGAGTGGTCGCAAACATTTGTTGTTGGTATCTCAAAACGTTGATAAGAACAATATCTTGCATTTAGCTAGAAAATTGGCACCCAAAAATCAACTTAATCTCATTCCTAGCGCAGCTTTGCAGATGCAGCGCGAGTTACAGTGGTTTAAGGTAGGAATACTTTTGGTTTAAACATTGCATGGGTGCTTTTGTAATGAACTCTTTCCATATATTTGTATGGTAATCATATATATAAAACTTACCCATTTTGAAAAATTGAGATTATTGAGTTAATTATATATGTCCAAATCTCTAATTAAAATTTTCTTATACAGGAAGTGGATAAAATTGTACCGCCGGACTACAAAGAGGAAAAAAATTATAAAGGAGAAACTCCAGCAATGGTATTTATGAGGAACATAAGGAACTCGTTAAAGAAGGTGAGAAATGGATGAAAGATGCAGCAACCTCATGCTCAGTAGCAGCAGCAATCACTGTACCGGGTGATTACAACAATAACGGTCAGCCGAACTTTCACAGACTGACATCCTTCATGGTCTTTGGCATTTCAGATGCATTCTCTCTTTTCTCATCAATTGCTGCCATCATAATGTTCTTGTCTGTCCTCACCGCACGCTACGCAGAACATGATTTTCTTTATTCGCTACCCAACAAATTGATATGGGGTCTTGTTATGTTGTTCCTCTCTTTAACGTCACTGATGGTAGCATTTTGTGCCACTGTTTATCTGGTGTTTTCGGAGAAAAAGGAATATTGGATACTTGCTTTAGTGTTTGCATCAGCTTCGGTCCCTCTCTCCCTGTTTGCATATTCGTAATATCCTCTCTTACGGGACGTGATCAATTCCACATATCGACCCGACATTTTTCGCAAGCAAAGAAGACGTGTCTTTGCACATTTTCTGAGAGTGATTAGAGAATAAGACATTTGCATCATTCTTAGTATTATATTGATCATATGAAAACTTCTACATGTATTTGAAAAAATGGTATATATGTGTAAGTGATTAGATAATAAATCACTAGCCCCTTTGACTTTATAGAAGTCATTACGTTAGTTTGTAATTGAAAGTTTGTTTAATCAAGTTCATTAAACATTTGTGGAATGGTTTGATTGTTGAAAGTTTATGTTTAACCAAGTTCATTAAACATTTGTGGAATGTGTTGATTGAGTTATTGTTGCTTGTGTGTATGGTCATTCAACATTAATCATCATATAAACCATAAGTAGAAAGGAAAGCACATAAGCATATTTATATGGTTCAGCTAACAGTCTACATCTATGAGACTAAGTCTAGAAGAAGCAAATCATCTATAGTAAATACTTACAAGTCAGTTACAGAATTGAAATTAAGTACACAAATGTTAAACACTCTCTGTTTCACAACACTCTAACTTCACCCTCTGGTTGATCTAATGTCTTGCCACAACTTGCTTGAATCCAAGAAACCTCTTGGACAACTAGAGTTCCAAGCTTCAATGTCGAAGTCAATCATCAGCTCCACAACTTGAACTCCCTTCAACCTTTCACCGATGGAACCATGTTCCAACAACCACTCAACAACAAAGATAAGTATTTTGAGCACAAACACATTAAAGGAACCTGACCTAAAATGAATAACCTCTCTAAGGAATTTCAGAGAACAGATAAAGGGATATTTGGGTTCAAGGAAAAACGCAAGGATGAAAAAGATAATATATACTCATTTTGCAAAAGACCCTTAGCACACACACAACCGACAATGACTTACATGTTAGTCTATTTTAGGAAATATTCCAACAAATTTGTTGGACCACAAGGACCACGTCTGAAAAAGGCGCAACACCTGACTCTAATGTGTCCACATGTTTTGCATATCTCAGACCTGTATTTCTTGGACCACTTTTTAAAAATCAAACACCTGTATTTGGACCACTCATGCATATCTCAGACCTGAAAAATATCCTAATATGCAAAGAAACGATACGTGCACTAAAGGGTCTGACTAGAACAATGTTCACACATCTGACTCTAACGTGTCCACATATTTTACGATAAGTTTAGACTAAGAAAATGTGCACATATTTATGTAGAATGTTATGACATGTGTGAATTATAACATGATTGTGCTTAACCAAATAAATGTGCAAACATCATAAATGAATGTGTACACATAACTTCATAAATTGACAAAAATACTTACAATCTCCCCGTTTGTCAAACTTATAAACAAAGCACAATCTTGATCAAATGATCAACACAAACCTGTCTCAAACAATATCAGCATTAAAAGTATAGTGATAAGAAAGGAACAACCACTCATTAAAAACATATCTTATGAAAACATCATTATCACCAAGCATAGAGATAAGTAATCTATCCTAACCCTCGTGTGTTTGGTTTTTTTTGCAATGAACACCCATTGGTTTCAGAATTGCAGTCCTAACTCCCATTTTTTGCAAACCGTTAGATCATTCTGTTTAAGTTTAAAGAAATAATGTTTTTCACCAAAATATGTCTTTTCTAGAGGTTAAATTGTTAAACCTATTGATAAATTTGAAGGTTGAATTGATGATGTTTTCTAAACCAATAGGTGCTCACTTTAAAAAAGGCCAAACACGGGGTTACGGTAGTATTTTTGAAACCATCAGGTGCTAAAGTTACATTTTTGAAACTAGCGGGTGCTCACTATGAAAAAGCCAAACATACGGGGATTTACTATAAGACCCCGTTTTATAGGCAAAATTGTTGTACAGAAGAGTAGGGGTGTGGAAATCCAGTTAACCGAACCGGATGGGGTGTTTTTTGAACCGAACCGGCTTTTTGGTTCAAGCAATATGGCAAATCGAAACCGGACCGAATTATCCCATAAACCGATTTATAACCAAACCGAATTATCAGTTCAGAAACCGGTTTACCGATTATTCAAACTTACCCAAAAAAATCAAATACAATCGATAGGAACTGGTTTCACTAGAAAATAATTAAAAAAAAAAAAAAAAAAAGCCCCACACCCAAAAACAAATTATAATCATCCACTTCTTCAAGAGTTCAAGTAACAGGTACTAAAAATATAAATTGATCACTAAAGTATTAAAAAATAATATACAACACTCCAAAATTCCGCACTCCACACACCTCAAAATCAAAACTTTCAACAAAACCAAAACGAATAAAAAATTCAAAACCAACAAAATACACAAAAATTAAAAGAATCGCATCTGTGAACTCGAAGACGCTTTTGCCTCTGATTTCTGGTCGTGCGCCGTCGTGGTTTCATGCTAATTGAAGACTGAAAATGGCAACCAGTTCGTTATCACCGTAAAGTGCAAGTCGGTGAAGGTAAATGCATAGTAAAGCGAAAGAAAAATTAACTAATTAAGATTTAAAAAATAAAAGTGAGGAAAACAAACCCTAGAAATTTGAAAATGAAAAAAGAAGAGAATCGGAAAGAAGTGAAGGGAATCGCCGAACTGGAGAGAAGAGGGAATGGAGTTTGTTTCGACACTTTGACATTAAATAAAAGTAAACATTTGGAATCAGAGAGAGGAGAAAATTTTGGGGAAGGAGGAAGGAATTAGAGAGAGGGAAAATCTCAGGAAAGAGGGAACAAAAAGGGAGAAAATAGAAATTTTAAGTTTAGGGATTTGGGATTTTTAGGGATTTAGATTTTATATATATTATATATATAAGTTTAGGGATTTGGGTTTATATGTGTATATAAATATATAAGTTTAGGGATTTGGACTTTTAGAGATTTGGGCTTATATAAACCGGTTTGTAAAATCGGTTAACCGTTAAAATTAATCTTTAAACCGTTAATCGAACCGGTTTTTGGGTTTATTTAATTTTGTAAACCAAAATCGAATTGGTTACTCCGGATAACTAGTTTTTCGGATTGGTTTCGATTCGGTTCGATTTTTGGTTTTTTTTTTGCAACCCTACAGAAAAAGTAGTAAGTAATTAATATCTCCTTGAACAATATCAGAAAAAAGGCGAATGAAAAAGAAAAAATAAAATAAAAATAAGTAATAAATAAATTAAACAAAGTAAAGTATAACTCACTTTCACCTTGGACTAATTAATTAGTTTGTGTGAAAAATGACCTGGCCAGAAGTTGTTGTGGAGGTCTGCCAATAAGAGATTCACTCAAATTAGGAGATAACTTCGGACTCTGTGATCACTTAAAACAGATTTGCTAACTTTAGGGGGCGTCGGTGGGTTTTCCGGCGTGGCCCCTCCGATGCTTAAGCTAGATACTAAGACCATAAATAGTAGAAAAATAATGGTTTTATGTGAGCCGAGTTTACCCTTGCCGGTCCCTTTAGAAGGTTTATATAGCCTTTTCCCCTAAACATGAGGAGGGTTTTGAGGGCTTTGTTGCCATGATTTTCATGGAATAATGGGGCCTAAGGTTCTGGTTAATGGCCACGTTTTGGTTGATAACGATTAGAAGTGATGGAGAAGTTAATCTCGATCTTAAGATAAAGAAAGTGGGTAGTTAAGTTGGGATGGGCAGCAAGTAGATCATAGGTGGTTGGGGATATTATTTCCTTGTGTGCCACGTGTCTTACCACCTGCTCAAGTCAACATATTTGAGCCTCCTTCTTATCGGGCAGACTTCTTAGATTTGGGTCAGAGGTGAGTCGAACCTCCCATTCCGTCTATTTCAGTACTTGATTCATTTTGGACCTTTATTAATGTATCTTAGGTTAGTTTATCAAGGTGCAAGGACTTACTCATTGGACTTCATCAACTTGGGCTAGGCTGAAAATTATCGCTCGATATAATTAAATTAGCAAAGTTAAAGCAGAACTTATTTTCAGTTATTTATGCTGTTTAAGATTAAGATATGATTTTAACTAAAATAATAATTGGATTATTCTTCCCAACTGATTTGTCATTGGTATATAATTAGTGGGATAATGTAACAATAGTATGGGTTAAACTATAGTGTACATAGGTATCATTATCCCTCTCAATCTTTGACAGCTTTTGAATTGAGTTATGAAAAATGTTAGGTCTACAACCCAATCTCACAACCTTTTCTCACAACTTCCGACATTACAGCTTGTTAACTCACAAATGGGTCACATCTACTTGCTGTGGATCCAGTTTACTTGATCAATTACGAGTTGTCACGTCGGAGATTGTGAGATTGAATTTTGAACCTAATATTACTGTTGAGTTATTATTGTTCTTATCTAAGCCAAGGGATGAATTTTACCCATGACTTCACAAAATTTACTAAGCTGAGCGATATGTTTTTATGTTTTGAGTTGGGTTATGAACTAAATTAGTTATAGCTTTTATGTCTCAAATTCTAATCATCAAGGATAAGCAAATTGGAATATAATTAAGGGGAATTTATTTTACTATTATTTTTAATTTTATTTATTTCTTACACGTATCTCCAATTTACATCTCATTTGTTATACATCAATGAATATTTTGTTGGGTATTGGCTTAAACTAAGCCAATTTGTCATTGAGGGGAAAACTATCTGTTAGAGTGTTGGGCTCATACGGTGACGTTTTATTATTAAGTGAGACGACGTCGTTTTGAGCCAAGCAAAGACAAATCCTGTCCATTGGCTGGCTGAGCATCCAACGGTGGAAAATCAGTCTGATAGTCAACAGTATAAAAGCATTGCAACAGTCCCTTTCTCAACAGTTGAAACCCTTCTTTCGTGTTTTTCTATTTTCTTTGTAAAACGAATAAGCCTCCATTAGGGTTTGGGTACAGTCTTGATCTTGAATCTGTAACAGGGTGTTTCAGTGGCTGGTTTGCAGGCCATTTGAGGGTACTAGAGTTTGCAGTGTATCTTGGGTGTTAGAT